TAAAAAAAAAAAAGAAACCATGGACTGGAAGAAAATATTTGCCAAAACGTATCTGATTAAGGGCTGTCACAGAAATATATTAGTATTCTTAAAACTAAACATTAAGGAACAACCCAATTAAAAAATGAACTAAAGGGCAGGAGTGGTGGCTCACATCTGCAATCCCAGCACTTTGGGAGGGCGAGGCTGGTGGATAACTTGAGGTAAGGAATTTGAGACCAGCCTGGCCAATATGATGGAACCCTGTCTCTACTAAAAATACAAAAGTTAGCTGGGCATGGTGGTGCACACCTGTGATCCCAGCTATTTGGGAGGCTAAGGCAGGATAATCACTTGAATCTGGGAGGCGGAGGTTGCAGTGAGCCAAGATCGTGCCACTGTACACCAGCCTCGGTGATGGAGCAAGACCTTGTCTAAAAATGGAGCCTAATACATTAACAGGCACATCATCAAATAAAATATACAAATGAAAAATAAGCATATGTAATGATGCTACACAAAATACTTCCTCAGGGACATGCAGCAATGACATGCCACTGCATACCTATTAGAATGACCAAAATCCCAAATACTGACACCACCAAATACTGGCAAAAATTTGGAGAGGAACTCTCATTCAATGCTTTTGGGAATGTAAAATGTTGCAGTCATTTAAAAATTTTATTTATAATTTCAACATTTATTACAGATTAAAATATACACATGCAGGTTTGTCACACGGGTAAATTACATGACACTGAAGTTTGTGGTCCCAACAATCCCATCACCCAGGAAGTAGGCATAGTACCCAACAGGTGGTTCTTCAGCTCAGTTGGCCCTCCATCCTCCATCTAGTCGTCCTCAATGTCTATTCCCATCTTTATGTTCATGTGTATTCGATGTTTAGCTCCCACTAATAAGTGAGTACATGTGTATTTGGTTTTCTGTTTTTGCAGTAGTTCACTAGGATAAGTACCTCCAGTTCCATTATGTTGCTGTAAAGAACATGATTTTATTCTTTTTATGACTACATAGTATTCCATGGGGTATATGCACCACATTTCTTCTTTATCCAGTCTACCATTGATGGGTGCTGCCATGAACATGCATATGAATGTGCTTTTAGGGTAGACTGGTTTATATTCCTTTGGGTATATGCCTAATCATGGGATTGCTGGGTCCAGTGGTAATTCTGTCTTCTTTGAGAAATTGCCAAACTGCTTTCCACAACAGATGAACTAACTTACATACTCGTACCAGCAGTGTATGTGTTTCCTTTTCTCCACAGCCTTGCCAGCATGCTATTTTTTGACTTTTGAACTATAGCCATTCTGACTGGTGTGGGATGGTATCTCCTTGTGGTTTTGATTTGCATCTCTTCACTGATTAGTGGTGTTCAGCATTTTTTCATATGCTTGTTGGCATTATGTATATCTTCTTTTGAAAATTGTCTGTTTATGTCCTTTGCCTACTATTTAATGAGGTTGTTTTTGCTTGTAAATTTGTTTATTTAAGATACTGGATAATAGACATTTGTCAGCTGCACAGTTTGCAAATGTTTTCTCCCATTTGGTGGATTGTCTGTTTACCTGTTGATAGTTTATTTTGCTATTCATAGCAAACGTTCAACAGGGAAGCTCTTTAGTTTAATTAGGTCCCATTTGTTGACTTTAGTTTTTGTTTCAATTATTTTTGGCATCTTCATCATGAAATGTTTGCCAGGTCCTACGTCCAGAATGATACTCCCTAAGTTATCTTTGAGGGCTTTTATAGTTTCAAGTTTTACATTTAAGTCTTTAGTCATCTTTAGTTGATTGTTGTATAAGGTGTAAGGAAGGGGTCAAGTTTCAATATTTTGCATAAGTCTAGCCAGTTGTTTCAGCAACATTTATTGAATGGGAATACTTTCCCCATTCCTTGTTTTTGTTGATTTTGTCAAAGACCAGATTGTTGTAGGTGTGCAGCATGATTTCGGGGCTCTCTATTCTGTTCTATTCATCAGTAAGTCTGTTTTGTACCAGTAACATGCTGTTTTGGTCGCTGTAGCCTTGTACTATAGTCTGAATTTGGGTTTTGTGATTGTATACAAACCACATTTTAAAATCCATTTATCTATTGTTGGACACCTAGATTGTTTTCATATCTTAGATACTGCAAATAATACTGCAATAAATATGGGAAGGCATACATCTTTTTCATATACTGATTTTAATTTCTTTCTGTATATTCCCAGTAGTGGAATTGCTGGATCAAAAGACAATTCTATTTTTAGTTTTCTGAGGTAAATTTTGTTTTCCAAAATGGCTGTATCAATATACAATACCACTAATGGTGGATAACAAGTCCATTTTTTTCCGCATCTTCTCCAAAACTTATCTTTCATCTATTTGCTAATTGGCTGTCAAACAGATATGAGGTGACACCTCATTGTGGTTTTACTTTGTATTATCTCATGATTAGAGATGTTGAGCAGTTTTTCATATATCCATTAGCCACTTGTGTGTCTTCTTTGAGAAATATATATTTAGGTCTTTGCCCTTTTGAGACAGTGTCACCCAGGAGAAAGTACAGTGGTGTGATCAAGGCTTACTGTAGACTCAACATATCAGGATCAATCCTCCTACCTCAGCTTCCTGAGTAGCTGAGACAAGAGGAATGTGCTTCACACTTGCCATAGTGGTTTGCTGCCTCCATCCCACCATCCCCTATATTAGATATTTCTCCCAGTGTTATCCCTTCCCAATCTCCCCACCTCCCTATCCCTTCCCTAGCATGCCACCCAGCAACAGACCCCATTGTATAATGTTCCCTTCCCTGTGTCCTCACGTTCTCATTGTTCAACACCCCCTATGAGTGAGAACACGTGGTGTTTGGTTTTCTGTTCTTGTGTCAATTTGCTGAGAATGATGGTTTCCAGATTTATCCTTGTCCTTGCAAAGGACATGAACTCATCCTTTATTATGGCAGCATAGTATTTCATAGTGTATATGTGCCACATTTTCTTTATCCAGTCTATCATTGATGGGCATTTGGGTTTGTTCCAGGTCTTTGCTATTGCAAAAAGTGCCACAATGAACATACGTGTCCATATGTCTTTATAATAGAATGATTTATAATCCTTTGGGTATATAATCAGTAATGAGATTGCTGGGGTATTTCTATTTCCAGATCCTTGAGGAATCGCCACACTGTCTTCCACGATGGTTAAACTAATT